AGCCAGTCTGCCGGTGCAATCGGACCGCGTGGCGCTTCGCTTGTGCTATAAAGGGGGAGGAGCGTGCTTCACTATCAGCGATTGCTTTTAGTGTAGCGGTAAGCGCAACGATCCACAAGTGGTATCAGAGCCAAGGTCACGGGTTCGACCCCCGACAACAGCATGCTGCGCAGTTGTAGGCTGGTAGGTGTTGGGGGGGAGATTGTTGGGCTGCGGGTATGCGGTGCCAGCAACAGCCAGCCTGCCGATGCAATCGAACCGCGTGGCGCTTCGCTTGTGCTATAAAGGGGGAGGAGCGTGCTTCACTATCATCGATTGCTTTTAGTGTAGCGGTAAGCACAACGATCCACACGGATCACCCCTTAAGGCTCTGATACCAAATGTAGGATCAAGTCACTAAAGAACACTAAAACTGAAAATATGGAATTTTGGAAAGAAGATGCAAAGCTTAACTGATTTTCTTGCTTATAGCCATTACATAATGATGATAACTACCCGTAATTACCACTAAGATAGTGCCTGAATTTGTGGAGTGCAAAACTAGTCAATAACCGAACCACTAAGCTTAAGCAAATGACTAAATCAGCTTCCTAAAACTTAGCTAACAAACTAGAATTCAAATTGCAATAATAAAATAATTAAGGATAAACTGATTTCCACGTGTGCATGGCTGCATGCACACCTAACCCGGTTCATGCTTGGTCACTTTCAACACAATTTAAGAAATACAAAGCTTAAGGTCCTATTAGTAAATTTTCATTATGTTTTAGTCCTACTTAGGATAAATACTATATGTTTATATAGAGAAAGTATTAATAATATGAAAATGATATGAAAATGTTCTTTGTTAAAAATACTATCATAAAAGTATAAAGTTATTAAATTTTGCATAAATATATTAGTTTACATAATTGGTCAAGGTTTACCACCTTTAACTGGAAAAGTCAAAGATGGCTAAGTAAATTGGGACGGAGGGAGTAGTAAAAACACTTTTTTGTTCAAGTTCATCAAATGTGACTGATAAAAATAGACACTTTTTCATACTCCCTCTGTTCTTTATTAACTGTCTCGCATTCCTTTTTGGGACGTTTTTAATTATTTGTCTCTCTTTCCCTTTTGGTAAGTTTTTTCAATCAAAATACCTTTATATCCCCACTTTTATTACCATTACCTCTTTCTCTTTCCTACTTTTTCATTTACCCACAACCTACTACACCTTTTACACTACCCTTATTATTTTCCTCTTAAAACCCGTGTCAAAGCCTAAGAGGACTCATATTTAAGAACGGAGGGAGTATTGTTTAGTAAGATTTGCTCAAATATTGCATAAAATTATTAAATTTTGCATAATTTTTTTTAGTAAGATTTGCTCAAATATTGCATCTCTTGTAACTCTGAAAATTCTAGTGGTCAAAAAGATTGGTAGAAGGACAGTGGTGAAGGGGAGCAGCACGCAGCCACGCCCAGGCTGGGGATCAGAGGTTCTTTTTATGTCTATCAGACTACAACCAAACTTTTGTTTCCTTTCATCTTTGAAGAAAAACAAAAGGGAGTGTTATACATACATGAATCTGTCGATCAATAAATCTGGGTAATCTGATAAGTGACTGGCTGGCTTATTAAAAAAGTGCGAAGAAGATGAAGACCCGGCAAGAATGGCGATCTGAACCCCCAAGCCGCCGATTCTCACGGCGGCGCTCTCCAAAGCAATGGGGAACATACAGTCATTGGTGGACACGTTTTTCTTTACAATCTTGGCTAGTCCCTGGAAATCGCAAGCCTCTACATCCTGATTGTTCACCTGGTAATACATATTGAAGGCATATGAAGCCTTGTTCTTCGAATCCTGATTCCCGCACGACGATCCGACGCTCAACGCCGTGCAATCCGACAACGAGCAGGCGTACTGGATGTTCGGTCCCAGCTCCCTCCGATCATCCGCGTCGCCGTCGAACACGCACCACTGCGCCGGCATGTACGTCACGTTCTTCGCCCTCACCGGAAGTCTGTTCTGTCCTTGGCCGGAGAAATCGATCGGGAATTTCGGCTTCCCGTCGTATGTGAATATCCCCCAGTGCCGCTCGAAATCACTCGGCGCCACGCTCTTCATGTTCTCGTCGGTCAGGCTGAGTAAGTGTTTTAATTGCAGCATGTTACTTTACTACATTTTACGCTATTATTTTATGAAAATTATATTTTTTAAAAAATATTGTTCAATTCATCTCATTACAAATTTTCAAAATCTAATTTTTTAATATTTTTTACTAATAGAATTAAGATATAATTACGGTCAAATATGTGTGTTGACAAATCTGAAATGTTGACCATTGCAACTAAAAAAGAACGGTGAGTATATGTCATCTTAGGTTCTCAACAAAGAGGGGTCAATGGACAATGGGTATCAAAAGTTCTAGTTAATGGAACTCCTCGGTCTAAATCTAATATTATGCTCGTCTCTTTTAACTTTGTTGTCTTCTTTCTTTTTTAATCTGAAAAAATTGTCATTTTCGTGTTTAATCAATTAAATTGTGATTCTTGTCATTTTTCTCTCTTCTTCACAAATTTTTCTAGAAACTGTCATTGTTTTCTGAAAATGCCCAAAAAATGGCATATTCCTTTTTAAGAATGCCAAAATTTTCGTTGAATCTGCCATAAATATGGCATTCGTATTGGATGTGGCCTTTTTTTCCTTTGGCGACTGGAGGTGGTGGTGCTAAGGCGGTAGAGGCGGCAATGATTTTTTTTTTAATTTTTTTATTTTTTTAAAATTATTTTTTATTATTATTTAAATATTTTATTAATTTTCTTTTATTTTTGACGAATTTTTTATTATTATTTATTATTTTTTTATGAATTAAAACATTTGAATAGCAACAAGAGTATATTTATCCAACACATACATAATTAATCCTATCAAAACATACTTTACTTTTTTATCCAATTTGTCCAAAGTGATCACATTTCAATCCTATTTTGATAATTAACCAAGAAAATAAGTAATGACCAAAAGTAATGACCAGTAGACATGATGGGTCCACAAGATGAGTGCAACTAAAACCAATTACGTCAATTGTGACGTACTCTCTCATATTCTGTATTACGTAATAGATGTAGAGATTATAGGAAGGATTGACAATTAAAATCTAAAGAGGATACATGATTTATTTGGAAGGGAAATTTGGTTAACATATGACGAAAAACTGCTTGAGACGGGTGACCTAGGCGTGAGTGCCACTGTTGTGATGAAACTTTGATGCTTGAGTAAGCACGAACAGGAGAGGATGTGGCCGGCCATTCATAGAGACCATTTTTAGCTCGATCGTGGAGGAGGGGTGCCCCCGTGCGAAGATCCTTAACACAAAAAGTAGACGGTGAGAATTCAACAGAGGCATTATTTTGAAGACAAAACTGTGACACAGAGATAAGATTTTTATGAATAGAAGGAACACATAAAAGATTTTTTAGTTGAAATAAACGGGAGGGAGATGACAAAGTGCCTGAACCCGTAAAAGTTATAGGAAGACTACTACCATTTCCAACGACAACTTCATCAGTGCCCGAATATGGAGTATGCAGAGACAAATTATCAAGATCAGATGTCAAGTGATGCGTGGCTCCACTGTCAAAAATCCACGGAGCAGATGGAGCCGATCCAAGAAGACCGCTGCCCATGGCAGCATGAGCCTGTGGAGGAGACCAGGCTGGCCTAGGAGAAGGTTGCCATGGAGTTGAGGAGTCACGTGATGGTGCTCCAGTAATGGAAGTGAGCCTGAAGAGAGGGCATGCGCGGGCAGAATGTCCCTGAGTGCGGCAGGCTTGACATGTGCCAAGATATGGTCGAGGTGTGGTGCTTTAGGAAGATGGGCGACTGGAGGAAGAGCCACCACGACCAGAAGTGGAGTGATGACGTCCACCGCGGCCGCGTGATCCTGAGGCAGGAGGTCCCCGAGCAATATTGGCGGTTATAGGCGTAGGGGATGACTCAGATTCATGGAGCAATTTGAGTTCACGATTAATGAGTTTTTCATGAAGCTCGGTAAAGGTGATGCATTTCTCCCGACCTTCAAGTGCCTCAATAATGGATTTGTAACCTTCATCAAGGCCGTCAAGAATCATTTTAATAAAATCTTCGTGATCTAATGGTTTTCCGAGAATAGCAAGTTCATCAGCAGCGGTTTTCATGAAGTACATGTATTCAGTGATAGACTTGGATCCTTTAGTGTATTTTCTCATTTGAAATTTGAGTTGCTTTACATGCCCACGAGATGGTTGAGCGTACACAGATGAGAGCGTATTCCAAGCATCTTGGGTAGTCTTGGCACGAGTAATGAGAGAGACCACAGGGGAAGTGAGAGTACCAATGAGAGCACCAAACAGGAGTTTATCCTGACGGATCCAAGAAGAATGAGCCGGATTTTGAGAAGTAACGCCGTCCACTGTCTTCGTAGCAGGCGGGCAGGGGAAAGAGCCATCAAGAAATCCTTCGAGATTATAGCCAGTGAGAAGAGATTGAATTTGTAATTGCCATGAGATATAGTTGGTGGAGGAAAGTTTGATGACATTCCCGAGATTAACAGAAATCAATGGTTTGTTGGGTTCAGAGGAGTTGGGAATGTGAATGTTGCTGGAATCGGAGGTGGTATCAACCTCATGTGAGACCATGATGGTGATCGGATGAGAATGAAGGCCGAAAAAAAATTCGAGAAACTAGATCGAAAGCTGTGATACCATGTAGAGATTATATGAAGGAATGAATTGTATTCACACTTAACAATTCAAATGTACATGGGTATATATAGGAGTACAATGAGGAGATTGTGTGTAACTAACTATATAGGATAATATTTAGCATTTAGTTAAATCTAATTACATAAGATAAATATTATTTATGATTTATCTCCAATAATAGATATCAAATCTTTTGTGAGCTGGATCATAGTTTAGGCCAGCCTGACATTCCTAAACATATAAATACAGCCTTTGAGGCGCTCTTGAATGATGTAACGAAACAGCTGAAGCTGGACCTGACCAACGGTTTCGAGCACAGTAACACCGGCGCTCTCTGTTTCGAAGTGCTGACATTCCTTGTTCTGAACGTGACGTTTCATTTCGACGGCGAGAGCGCGGATCTGAGGCTCCCCGCGAAGAATTGGTTCTTCCAGGAGCAGAACGACGCAGTCGGGGAGTTGGTGACGTGTTTGGCAATGAGCGTGGCGGACGGCGGCCGCATTTCGGAAGCTGGGAAACTTGGGAACTTTCAGCAGCAAGATATGCAGGTGGCTTTTGATCTAGCTAAGGAGACTGTTTCCTTTGTGTTAACATAAGCTCGATTTCCCCTTCCATCTACTAATAGTCTTATCCCCTCCGTATTAAGTGCTGCTGCTCCATTTAACTCATTAGTACTACCTACTAATTAAATGCTGTTTGCTTGCTTCATACTCGAAAATCTTAAGATTAAATTTGAAGATCGTTATCATATAATTAGACATGAACTCACGATGGATGAATGAACTAGAATAAATCTTTTATTACTTCTGACTTCTTTGGTTATGAGATTCTCGATACATAGAGAGAGGTCTCTTAATTATATTTTGTTGTTATTTCATACGGAATATGCATATATATAGAGATAGAGAAGAGAATTGTGAAATTCTAGTCCCAGTGGCGGTCCTGAAAACGCGACCATAGGCACATTATTTTATTTTTTATAATGTGTGAGAAGTTGAGTTTCCGACCCTTTAATTAAATTTCTCTAGCCCAAATGGCCAGTCCAAGAAAAGAAAATCACGGACCAATAGGCTAACTAATATGGAGTCGTGAAAACACTTTTTTGTTGAAGTTTATCAAATGTGACTGATAAAAATAGACACCTTTTCATATTGTTTAGTAAGATTTGCTCAAATATTGCATCTCTTGTAACTCTCAAAATTCTAGTGATCAAAAAGATGTGCAGAAGGACAGTGGTGAAGGGGAGCAGCACGCAGCCACGCCCAGGCTGGGGATCAGAGGTTCATTTTATGTCTATCAGACTACAACCAAACTTTTGTTTCGTTTCATCTTTGAAGAAAAACAAAAGGGAGTGTTATACATATATGAATCTGTTGATCAATAAATCTGGGTAATCTGATAAGTGACTGGCCTGGCCTATTAAAAAAGGGCGAAGAAGATGAAGATCCCGGCAAGAATGGCAATCTGAACCCCCAAGCCGCCGATTCTCACAGCGGCGCTCTCCAAAGCAATGGGGAACAGACAGTCATTGGTGGACGCGTTTTTCTTTACAATCTTGGCCAGTCCCTGGAAATCGCAAGCCTCTACATCCTGATTGTTTACCTGGTAATACATATTGAAGGCATATGAAGCCTTGTTCTTCGAATCCAGATTCGCGCACGACGATCCGGCGCTCAACGCCGTGCAATCCGACAGCGAGCAGGCGTACTGGATGTTCGGTCCCAGCTCGCTCCGATCATCCACGTCGCCGTCGAACACGCACCACTGCGCCGGCATGTACGGCACGTTCTTCGCCCCCACCGGAAGTCTGTCCTGCCCTTGCCCGGAGAAATCGATCGGGAATTTCGGCTTCCCGTCGTAGCCGAATATCCCCCAGTGCCGCTCGAAATCGCCCGGTGCCACGCTCTTCATGTTCTCGTCGGTTAGGCTGAACAGATAGACGTCGATCTGGCCCGGATGCAGGGGCGTCCCTTTCTTCGCCGCCATTTTCTGGAGAAATCCCCGGTAGAACTTCTCTGCCAATTGGGCGTTCGCTTTGGCGTGGCCATCCGTCGGCCACCCGATCTCACCGACGATTACTCTCACGCTTTCGCACCCGGCTTTCTTCAGCGACCACATCAGCGTGTCCAGATTCGCGTCGAACATGTTCATGTACGACACCCCTTTGTCGACGACGGGTTTGGCGCCGTCGTCGAAGAAGGCGAACTCGATCGGGAAATCTGGGTTCTGGTAGAGGCTGAGGAATGGGTAAATGTTGACGAGGAAGGGAGCGTCGTTGTCTCGGAGATAACGACAGATCTTGATCATCAGGTCCCTGATGTCAGACCGAAAATTGCCGGCGGACGGGCCGGCGGAACCAGAGTCGTATACGTCGCCGTTTTGGGGAATGGTAGCTTTGATCTTGTCTCCGAGTCCGGCTTCATTTAGAGCCTTTTGGATGTTCTGTAACGCCGGGAACGTTGTCTTCAAGAAGGAGCCGTTGTATGCCTTCAAGAACGGCTCGTTACCCACAGCGACATACCTGTACAAGTTTTAATCAAGTCAATTACTCGCAACTACTAACCACATCCACATCCACATTCATGTTACGTAAATAAATGGATTTTTAATGATACGTAGATTGAATCGTAATTTTTTCAAAATAATCTTACACCTTCTAAATTACAACATTCATCATCTCAAAATGATCAGATCTTTTGTGAGTCTTACACTGCCAATTAATACTGGATGCACAATAATCTTGGGATAATATGGATTCATATTTCAATCGAGGATTATTTTGTCAAATAATCTCATCAAATAATCTTCATCACTCAGTCATGATCTCTAAAATAATCCACCACATCACTAACTCGGTCATGTCTCAAACTATCATTCTTGAACTGTCCCGATTTATTTAGGATACATTTTTCATTTTGAATCGGTCCCGTACCAATATCAATCGGGACGTGATCATGACAACTACAAAATATCATGTCCTGTCTCGGTGTCCCGTTTGAAATTAGTAGGTTATTTTAAATTTCTAATGCTATGTACGTAGTAATAGTTAAGCCCAACTAAAACTTTCTAGTCTTTAGCCTCCTTGGTGTAGTTTTATTTTATTTCACGTCTCTTAGTCTCTTATCTTATTTTTTTGTTATTAAAATTTGTTTAGTTCTCATTGCAATATCATATGTTGAGAATCTTGAAATGTGTAGGACATAGACATGTATTTTGCTTTTATTCTTCATTTGGTTAAATGCTAGTTGAGTGCAATGATTTTAGCATTGTAATATCATAGATATGCTGAAAATCCTAAAATGTAATTTAGGGAAGCTAAATTTGCAAAAACAGTTACGTCTTTAATTTGATGTTATGCTTTTTTCGATAACATTTCACAAATGCATATTTTGTAGGATGTCTCATACCATCCCGATTTTCCACGGGTTGTTTCGGTCCTGTTTTATATGGCACAACATTCGGATAAAGACTTATCTTGATCCGTATCGGAGCGTTTTAATAAACTAGATTGGAATCGCGATAAGCCAAGTCCCGGACCGTCTCAAACCATGCCCAGAACATGCCCACCCCTACTCCGTAAACTATCGGAAGCAAATGATTTACTAGTTCGTGCCAAAATTTTGGTCAACCATTAAAGTTAAGTTATCTCAAAATTAATTTAATTCTAATAGTTAAAATTATAAAATTATAAATTGTCTCTTAATTTACATACTCCGTATTCATAAACTACACTAAAATCTCTATAAAATCGCAAAATTCAAATTAAAATTTAATTAAGAATTATTATTCTAATTAAGTGAATAAAATGAATCTGTTTGACCTAACAAAAATCAATTTTAATCTAAATTCGGAATCGAGGGAGTAAATATTAATTAATGATAAATAATGATTTAGAAAAAAAAATAATGATTTAGAACAATTATTATTGGTGTAGTATTTTCATTTCTTGGTGGAGTATGGTAACTCTCACCTTAATTAAATATCAGTTTAGATATTTTTAGTCCCTATACATTTTGTTTTAGATTTATACAAAATAATTTCTTTGGTTTTCATTGTTGTAATATATTATATTTTGTTTTTAGTTCATTTCTAATTTTGAGATCACTCTATTTAGAAATAATTATTGTCAATTGCATAATAATACTACTAGAATCTTTAAAAATTATGCTTTTATAATTCTTTTGGGATAAAATGAAAGTTAAAACAATGAAAAAATAATTATTCACATTTTTAGAATATGTATTAACAACCTTCTAAAAAGGTAAAATCAAAATACTTTTTGAATTAGATGACAAAGAATTAGAAGAAACATACTAGTTGGGGTTGTTTCATTGTCAAACGGTGGTTATTATCATTGGTGATGGACTACAATGAAAACTCAAATAATTACAAGGATGAAAAAAATTGTAAGGACGTAAAACAAGTTGCACTACATTTGTAGGGACTAAAAACATATTTAAAGCTTAAATATTATAGTCCCTTCTTTTCTTCTTAGACGAAACCTTATCATTTTCATGTTTGCTAACGCACACTTTAGATGTCAATATATATTTAATTCTATATTAGTTAAAGAATTTTAAAATCAAATTTTGAGAATTTGTATTGAGACGAATTCAACAATATTTTCTCAAAAATAAAAAGTCTCATGCATTAATAAATATTATGTAGTTAAAAGTAAAACATGTAAATAATGTGAACTTCAAGGTTAGACAGTTGAAAGGGGATAGAAGAAGGGGGGCTAAATTCACAGTCCCGAACCAGTCAAGATCGGAACATGCCAATTCATGCGACCAGATCCGGACCTTTTCGGTTCGGGTTTACCACCGTCGGATCCGTGCCTTTCAAGGTAGGTATCGGTCCCAATTGATATATATGGATATCGGACCGGTTTCGATTCGACCCTTTTATTTGCATTCGAAGTGTTAGACACATTTTTAAAGCTCTGTAAATCCATCCATTTTAAGGTCAAAAAAGCATGAATAGGGGTGGGGAGAATTAGTCTGGAACGTGAATCGGCTCGAAAATGGCAAACCTGGTCCCGCTCTCCAACCTACCTCACCACCGAGACCGGACGATATGGGACCAGAACTGGACCGGGTCCGTAAATAGAATGGATAAGTATTATTGAAACTTTATAATTTCAGAGTTTGAAAGATAGGTTCACTATAAATAAGGGACCCAAAAGATAAATGTGCTCGTATAGGATCCAAAATTGCAAACTATGGATCAAAGATCTAACATATTATAAATTTTGATTTATTTAATTGTTTAGTAGTTGCATTGCTAATAATTTTTTATGACTTTTCTTCCCAAAATTTATGAGTTTTGTAAGATTGAATAATATTTAAATTAAAAAAAAAAACTGCATAATAACATGATAACATCTACGGAGTATGATATTGTAGATTTTAAATTGATGGTTTCAATTATCCCGCCCGTATAAAATTCCTAGTTAATTACTCACTTGATCTTAACGCCTCGATCGTGTAAATGGGAGCTAATATTTTCCTTGACCCAATCCTTCGCATTGTCAAAATCATCGGCAAACAGCTCGAGCTGATTGTTCGGAATTCCGGGCATGACCTCGATGCCGGTGCCGGCGAAGAAGTTCAACGTCCACTGGTCGGAATCGAAGAGCTTTATCTTGTCAATGTGATTGTCCTTGAGCATCTGGGCGATGATGGAAGGTTCCAGGACTTGGGCGGCTTGGGTGCCCCAATTGACGCCAATTCCATGGACGGCGGTGAAGGCGAGACAGCAAGTGGTGGCCCATATCGCGAGCAGCCGGACGCCGCCGTGGGGCAGCATGGTTGACGCTGCAGGGCGGCTAGCTATTTACGGATCTATCGGAGGCTTGCTCGGAGATTTATGGAATTATGTGTATTGGAAATCTCGCAAGTAAGCTGGTTAGGAGCCGATGGATATTGTTGGTGCAATGGAAGGAAGGATTGGGAGGGAGATATGAGAGTTGGTGGAGCCGCGAGAAATCAGAAAGAATGGTGTCAGGATTCAAATATGGAGAAGCAGAGGTACGGGTGATCACTCCATTGTTTGAGGACGATGATAGGCTTGTAAAATCAATAGACTAATACGGGTACTTTGTAAATTGTTTAATTACTTCAAAATGCATAGTCCAACAATTTTACACAAGATGATAGATAATCAAAGCACCTAACACCATACAATTACCTCACAATTATTATTATTACCTAAATGGAATGCCAAGGTGCCCTACTATAAGATGTGCATTTGTACCATGTACCTTTCTCCATTTTTAATTGGTACTCTTTAATTTTTCTAATCAATATTGTTAAATTGTGATCCATCAGTTTAATCAATACTACGTAGTTAATACTCCCTTCGTCCCGCTAATATTGTCCCGCGGTCCGTCCCACTATGATTGTCTCTTACCAAATTTCGTAAAATTTATGTTTCAAATCATTCTTGTTTTATTCTTACTCTATTAATTTAATAACAATCACATAAACTAACTTTTATTGGTATGTGTGTCACTCTTTCTTGTACCATTGTTTGTGGGATGGAGAGAGTACTTCTTATGTTATGTGTTTAAGTTCTCACATTTCTTTTCATGATGTTCCAAAAATTAAATTTCACACTTTTATTTTTGGATATGTTTATTTGATATCAGGGCTTTGATATCCCTAGCACTTTTACCCATATCCATGTCTCGTGTCGGTCTCCCAACCTTCTATCTTTCCTCAGTCTCTTTACTCTCTCAATTTCTTTCTCTATTCTCTTAATTTCTTTCTCTCATTTATGACGTTCCCGTTATCTACATTTTTGTCTGTCTCATCTCACCTCTTTCTCTTTTTTGTTGCCCCTTGAATGGATGTTAGTGTTCTTTTGTAGCACTTGAATGGATGTAAAATCCATCTCTCACCAAAACATGCAACACTATTCACATCGGAGATTCAAGAGGTGTGAAGTCACTGATCTATTACTTCAATCATCTCCCACGTGTTAAGGTGTCACGTATTTCAGATCTAGAAAATGTGAAGTGTTTTATAATTGCAGATTTGCAAACACTAAGAAGTTCAAATGTAACCTTTAACTTTCTCAAATGTTTACCATTTATTACTCTAGTTACATTTGTGTTGTTTATTTGTTACATGTTATATATGAATATGTGATTGTCCCAAACATATGTGTTTGTGCTAATAACCTACAGTGTAATTTATGATGTCAAAATAATAATTATCAGGGTAATGAGTTCCGATCGAGATTGTGAATATGTGGGTTGCGTAGTGTGATAAGTGGATTTATGTGGTTTGCCTTGTTAATGAATCTTGTACCTATTGTGAGATGTTATTATGAACTTGTGCAACTCGGTAATAAAATGTGCTTACAATAAAATGGTGTACACTTGCAATAGGAAGTACATAAAAAATTATACTTTCATCGGTGTGAAGTACATACAAAAAATTGTACATATAATGCTAAACAAAAGGTGATATACACACTCTCTATATAAAAAAAATGTATGTTTAAGATAAACAATTCAAAGGTGCCACTACAATATTTGTCCATATTGTGTTTGTTGTCATGTGTTCGTTCATGTGTGTTTTAGCTGTGTTATACCCTTCTTCACTAATTTAAACATTTTTGGGTATCAAATTTGTCCTTTCCAACATGTTTGAGCCAACAAATCTTATTGTGTTTCAAAATTTTCTCCATTACATATTGCTAGTTTGTGAAGCACTTATTTAAGGTCTGAGATGTCACTTCATTGAATGTTGTTTGTACTAATTCTATCAAATGTGTGGTCAATTTTGGTGCTTTTTATCTTTCAAAGAATCAATAGCCCTAAAAACCTAAGTCCAACATGTTTAAATTTGGACTATTTGATGGCCGAGCGCGCACAATTCAATATGTCATCCATCTTCTGTTCCTCTTTCTTACAAAATCTAGATTACTTATCTCTATATGACGTCTAAGATTATCTTGTTGTATGATGACATGTTTATTTTCTTCATCTGGCCACTCCTCTTTATCTACTGACAGAAGTTTGGTGATCATCAAGTCTTTAATTACTAGTCACACTTAATGTGACCTTAGTCTCTAAAGTCCCAGTTGACCTATTATTGCTTTCTCTCTCTGATGTTTCTTCATAAGTGAATGAAAATACACTAATTTTTCCATCTCATAATACGTCCCCTAAGTTACCTATTCTAGGCCTACCTACTGCAATAATGAACATGGCTTTTGGTATGAATTTTTGGATCATGTTGTTCTATATGGATCCTCTTCTATTGGGAAGTTATAAAATGTTATTGTTTCTTTTGATAAATAGAATTACTTCTCATCTATGTGTACATGATTGAAGAAATCATAAAAAGTGAGGGAAATGGGAAGTCAATGAAGGATGATATGACTTGGGAAGAACTCTAACCTTTTGAGCATTCCTTTTTCTATCAAAAGATGCTTAATAGCATTATGTAACATATGTAAACGCCCTCATATTTTTCCTTTGATGATAAGGGATTTGTGACATTTTGTGCAAATCAAATGCAACTCTTTTTTATCCTATATTACCTACTCATTTGCTCTGCACATTTATGGATTATCCGCATCATATTTATGTCTTTGCTTTCAATAACACTCTGTGTACGGTTCTTCTTCAAGTATTGAATTCATTTGCTACATTTGTTATCATACCCTCTCTGACCTACAATAGCTCTATTATTATTCTTAGTTTTTCTATTGACAACTTTGGTCAGTGTTGTTGTGTTCGTCAAAGATTAGCATCATTGCTTACTGAAAAACTCAAAGATAACTAACTAAAAATAAACAAAAGAAGTATAAATTTGGTGTCAAATTCTTTTACAATGTGTATTTTCATATACCAAAATTGTACAAGGGGTGGTGTATTTTTACTAGACCACAAGTTTATATAAAAATAATTATGTAAGATGTATTTTTGTATACCAAAGTTAGCGTGATCAAGCTGTTCCTTACACCTCTCATCTCTAGATAATAAATTTATAAAGTTCTCGTTGAAGTGACTGTATTGGCTTATTCTACTGATATATGAACAAAGTATATTTAAAATATATTTTATTAATAAAATGGAGAAAAATATATATAAAAAATAGTTAAAATACTCATCTACAGTAACTTCAGCCAATACAGTTAGAAAAGTAACTTCAACCTTACTTTTTTCTTATTATTACACAACCCAGCGCGCGAAACCAATATTTGCATGTTTGGTTAAAAAGTTGGCTACTAAGCCTGATAAGCCAAAAACAGAGTCACCAAACGGGCTCATAGTAATAATATACTACTCCCTCTGTCCCCCTGTTATTGTCCCATTGCGGTTTACGGTGCTTGACGATAAAGCAAACAGATCCCTGTCCGCACTCAAATTATTTTTAAAAAAAAAATTACATATTCAGAAACTACATTAAAAGATTTACAAAGTCGCAAAAAAACCAGAATCAAATTTGATAAAAATTTGATACATAAAGTAAGATATTAAGAGTGATTTTAACAGGAGAACGGAGGGAGTAGTATATTTTTAACTTTGCAATATAGTAACCATTTCGATGTACTCCTAATAACCTTAATAACAATAATCACATTTTTGTTTATAAATTCTATTCTAATACTCCGTAATATTTTAAGAAAATCCACGATTAGCTTTGGATGCAAATGTTAATATTTTACACTTAAAATGCATAATCAATTTGGATGAGAAGTATGAGGTGCAAACTTCAAATCATCCTTTTCTGCTGGTGAAAAAACAGCTAACAAACTGATTTAACTACTATAAAGTCATCAAATGTTACATTAACATGTCCACAAAAAACGGACAGTTTCTTCAAACTAAGCCTGATTACTACTCTGCTCATTGCCTTCTTTTATAGTCCATCTGATGCTCAATTCTATCCCTTCAATCTCACTAAGGTCGTCACAGTTTACTGCCACTGCTGGCAACGATTCGACTCCCAAGCCTGCTTGAATTTCTTTGAACTTTGCCATAACTTCAACCATTGGCGGTCGTTTCCATGGTCGATCATCTAAACATTCGGACGCCACTCTCAAGTATAGAACAAGCTCGTTTTCTAAGCTCGGATAGTAGTCATCCTTAAACAAATCTTGATCAAACACCTCTCGGATTTGCGTCTTGTTCTGAAGCTTCACCCATCCTACAAGATTATTGTCACCGAAATCTGCCGAATGAGTCGGCCGTTTTCCGGTCAACAGTTCAAGCAAGACCACGCCAAAACTATAAACATCGCCTTTAGTTGAACATCTAAAACTTTGGTAATATTCGGGTGGGACATATCCGGGGGTACCCGCCAACGTGCTAACACTCAAGTGAGTGTCCATTGCACTCATGAGCCTCGCCATTCCGAAATCTGAAACCCTTGCCTCGAAGTTATCATCAACCAACACATTGCTAGACTTCATGTCCCGGTGAATGATATGTGGGATGCAGTTATGGTGAAGGAAAGCTAACCCTCTTGCTGCTCCGATCACGATTTTCCGTCGGGCAGCCCAATTTAGTTTGACACTCTCCTTCTTCTTCTTCTTCCGGTCACGCAAAACGTCCTCTAAACTTCCATACTTCATGTACTCATAAACCAACAGCCGTTCTTCCCCGACCTTACAATAGCCCAAAAGCGGGACCAGGTTGCGGTGTTTAATCTTGCCTATAGTTTCCATCTCTGCGGTGAATTCCTTATCTCCTTGACCGCTGATGTGGATCAATTTCTTGACTGCCACAACACTACCATCCTTCAATTGTGCCTTGTAGACATCACCGAAACCGCCCGACCCTATAAGGCTATCGTTGTGGAAGCCATTTGTGGCTTCAATGAGATCTGCCAAAGTGAGCGTTATTAGAGGCTTCTCAAATGTAGATAGGTTTATACTCGACGCTTCCGGAAAACCAGTTAGCTTCCATCCACTGTTTGCATTAGTAGCTGGACGAGCCGCCACTGCCCCTTCAGTCTCCTCCTCTCCTTTCTTGCGTCTCTTCTTCATTTCAAGGGCCAGTATAATCAGACAAAATATGCATAAACTGGAAAACAAAATCCCAATCGTCAACGTCGCAATAAAAGCCGCTTGTTCACGATGAGACTTGTGGTTCCAATTCGTTCTTGAACTGGAACCGGACCCACACTCCTGAAGAGGGTATCCACAAAGCCCAGAATTATTGGCAAACCGGTAATCTGCAAAGGTGTCAAAAGCTGCTGATTGAGGTATTGGTCCAGAGAGCTTGTTGTTTGAAAGATCAATCTCGTCAAAAGTCAACCGGGTCAAAGATTGCGGAATCAAGCCGGTGAGACTGTTGTGTGATACGTCAAGAATTGCGAGAGTCTTCAGGCTTCCGAGTTCGGGAGGAATCGGACCAGAGAGGTCATTATGCCCCAAATTCAGAATGAAAAGATAGTACATTGATCCTAACTCCTTAGGGATGCCACCCTGCAGATTATTGTAGGACAGATCAAGGAAAATCATGGATCCGTTATGGTTGAAATTCGGTTGGGTGATGCCTTTGTAAAGTCTAGTGAATTTGCAAGGGTGCCTGGTGGAAATCCTGTCCAGCCTGTCCTGTCGAATCCCTCCAAACTCAAGCAAGTTCCCGGCTCCATGGCAAATCTCACTCCCATCATTCTTGATATACCCAAACCTCTTCCCAGTCAGCAACGACTCCGCAATGTAGCCTGATTGCTTCGATAGAGCAGCCGGGATAGGACCACTCAAGAGATTCGTGTTTAGATCAATCCATAGCAAGCTCATGCAATCCCCAAGCTCGGTTGGGATATTTCCAGAGATTGAGTTATTCCCAAGCTTTAGAATGGCAAGGTTGGATAAACTGCCCAGAGAAGCTGGTATCTTTCCACTCAAGAAATTATTCGACAAGGAAATCCAGTTCAAACTAGTGCAGTTGCTAATAGTTGCAGGGATTGAGCCTGTCAAGTCATTGAAATCAAGAATCAAATTCTCCATTGCCTGCAGATAGACAAGTTCTTGAGGGATTTCCCCTTGTAGCATATTCAACCAAATAATCAAATCTTTCAGCTTAGTCAATGAGCCTAGACTAGAGGGTATCCTACCGCTAAGGTAATTAAAGCTGAGATCAAGGGAGATTAATTGTGAACAGTTGATTAAACTCTCTGGTATAGAACCAGTGAAAAGGTTGTTCTGAAGGTACAAAACTTTCAAGGTGTTTTCTCTAGGGCCTTCACAAATCCCAGGGGGGATTGAGCCTGAGAGATTATTAGAACTTAAATCCAATGTCTCCAAATTAGAGGATAATGCCTCCCTGGGAAATTTCCCAACAAAATTATTGAAAGAGAAAACCAAAGTCTTCAAGCTGGATAACTTGTGGATGGCTTCAACAGGCAACTCACCAGAGAAATTGTTGTTAGAGATGTCAAGAAGCTGTAATGCAGAACAAGACCCAATACTTTCAGGAACAACACCTGAAAAACTGTTCATACCCAAATCCAGGTGCACCAAATGGGAGCATTCTTGAAATGAAGGGAAGAAAGATGAGAAATTGTTAGCTGAAAGGTCCAAGAATGTTAAGTTCTTGAAAGCCATTTCAGGAATATCTCCATGCATTTTGTTCCCCTTCAAAGATAGAAACTCAAGATCAGCAAAATCAGAAGGCACCAGCCAGGAAAAGATGTTTTTCCCAGATAATTTATTGTAAGAAAGATCAAGAAGTCTAAGTCCAATGGCAAAGCTAGCTCCTTTCTCAGGAAACTCCATCAAGTTCTTGGAGAGGTTAAGTGACTTAAGGCTGGAGCATCCAGCAAGGCTTGAAATATCAGAAACAGGCCCAGAAATGGCGTTTTCCGCAAGATCTACTAGTTTCAAAGAAACCCCACACTGTGCTTTTGATGCAGAAGTTAGAGAACCAGTCAGGTTACTATTCTTCAACACAAGATTCTCCAGCTTCTGAAGAGTCAGCAAGTGGGATGAAACCAAGGAAAAGTCTGCGCCGAGAATGGTGTTACTGAGATCTATGGAGGATATCTCTGTGAAGCCGCTCGTGCATGTGACTCCAGTGAAACTACATGGGTTTGCAGAAGATACCCAGTCATGAAGCGCATCTTTATTGGGAAGACCGTTCTTGAAGGACAGAAGCTGCCGGGACTCCCCGTGAAGCTCATCGGAAACAGCCCAGGAAGTTAATGGCAGGAAGACGGTGAGGAAAAGAGGAAAAGAAAGCAAGAAAGACTTGCAGGAAAGAGCGAAGCTATAATACGCCCTCATCTTCTTCACTTCGTCATGTAGTGTGTTTCACGGGTCTACTACTCCTATTCCCCTTGCCTCAGAAAACACGCAAACCCAGACAAGAAGATGGCGGTGTGTCAAGAGAAGAGTCAAACGTATGAACAGAGAAGGTGGCAGAGGAATTATTGAAGCCATGTGAGCCATATTTTTTCTTACCACTCACTCACTAATGTTACTCTGAGGGCCTCCCTCGTTCTTATACACTGCGATTGTCTTCCATTACCACGTTGTGTTTGTCCAGAAATGGTAATCAGCGGATGCGATTAAGGATGGATCATAAGTTTAATTCCATCGCCATCGCCTGTTTAGTTATAGATTCACATTTCCACAAGAGCTCCTTTAAACGAGAATTTCGGTGGATAGCACCGAGGGAGGGTTACAATAGCTTTTCCTTTGAAAAAATCACATTTTTAAGTGATTTTGGAAATGCGTTTAATAATAAAAGTTGATAATTTTGATAAAAATTTGATTTTCAAATATAAAAATTAATAGTGTTTGATAAAATATGTTTTTTTTGTTACAAATAGTTTTTGTAATGTTATATTTTTTGACATTTTGTGATATGATGTGATTTTTTTGATATAAGAACGATATTTTTCTGACTTTATTTTTTTATTTTCTTCTCATATTTTAGATTTTCAATTGAAATCTGATAATTACATGCTACATAATTTTCTACGAAATTGGGAAAATCTGAAAAATGTCTTTATATTTTATCTCGTCTTTACACAAGACGAGATGAAAATGTCATGTTTATATACGAAAATGTCATTATTAGGTCATTATACATGCATATCAAATGACATCCTCGTTGGAGGTTGCAGGAACTTGCCAGAGAGCCCCGGCTTTGTCAAAGGATGACGGTGGCGGCGAATATAGTGACCGGCTGGGATGTCTATTCTCTTACGCACCCTTACACATGGGTCCCATTTTTTATCTCACAAATTTTATGTATAGGACCTACATATCTTCATATTTATTTTAATTTCCATTTTTTATATCATTTCTAACTCACTTTTCATCCACTTTTGCTTCTCGATTCCCGTGTAAAGTCTATTTGTGGACATTGTCATAGACTGATAGACATTGTCTACAATTTACCTCTATCTCTCTTCCATTTTATTTTTCATACACAACACTTTCTTTATATTAAATTAAAATAATCATATTATTTTAATTTAACTCCAATCCATTGCATCGACATCAAATGAAACTTGGGCATCGACGGATCAGAGAAGGGGAGACTGGGGATATTTTAACTTTTTCATTAAGGGCCATTTCATCATGTTAATGCACTTTTAGTCCTAAAAACACAGAAGTCTTGTTTTTGCTTAGATTACCTAGATTTCTACGTATTTTACATAGATTACTTTTCTCTATTTTAGAGCAGTTGACACATGTTCATTTTTGACAAGTTTTTGGTTATATGATTATCCTCTTCTAGGAAGCACAAGTTTTAGCAGGAGTGAATTCATGAACACCACCAGTAAAGGATAGCAGAGGATAAAAGAGAATCTAGTTTATGTATTCTCTCGTTAACAAATAACCCAACGCACAAGTTTGACCATTAATATCTTTCATTCATTATTAGTAAATAAATTAAAAGAACTAGATTTTAAAAATTTTTAAGAGAGAATTGTCGAAATAGGACTAAATCAAAGAGAAATTGCAAAAATAGGACTACTGTGTTTTATTGATCAAAAATGAGACTAAAAAGAGTTGATCTGACAAAACTACCCCCAATTAAAAACATGTCACGCTAACTAACGATTTACACCGGCGACGCATAACAGCCTCCCATGTCCGCAGCTCATCTTTGCTTCCCTCTCCACTGCTCAGGTCGACATATCTCGAGGTAAGTATTTCTTCTTCTTCTCCTTCTTCTTTTCCTCCTTCTCCTTCTTCCTCTTCTCCTTTTCCTTCTCTTCTGTTCTCTGCTTCTTTCTTCTTCAGTCATATTTTTTATTTAAAAATTTTGGATTTGAAATTCACGGCTCTATCAATTATTCGAAATTATTTCGGTCTAATTTTTTTGTTATGTTCAGCTTTCAACTTTTTTAAAAATGCCACATAATTGACAATTTTTGGAGACATATTGGCAATTTTTTGGAGATGACAGTATTATATGTTTGAAATTTCCATGATTTTGACATTTTTGACAAATGATGACATTTTTGCATCTAAAAATGTCATGTTGTAATATCAAAAATGACATGTTTTTACATCTAAAAATGTCATGTTGTAATCTCAAAAATGACATGTTTTTGCATCTAAAAATGTCATGTTTTTGCCTTTGATGTTAACATGTCATTTTCGAGTAAAGTGACAAACAGGTCAAAACTGTCATCATAACAAATGCAATGTCATAAAATTGTCATTATTTTTAAATGATGGCATTTTCGAAATAAAATGTCTAAAATAATCTGAAATTCAAAACAAGTAGGAGAAGTTTTAATCGAAAACAGAGGAGTGCAAGGAGAACTGCGAGGAGAAGAAAACAGAGGGGGAGGGGAAGAAGAAGAAAAAGAAAAAGAAAAAGAAGAAAAGAAGAGGAAGAGGAAGCAGGAGGAGAAGAGGAAGAATGCCTGATTTTGTCGAAGAGAAGAGGTGGTGGTCGACGTTGAGCAGGCGGCTGCGATGATGGCGGTTGAGTTGCGATCAAAATTGGTCAAGCTGCTACATGGCAGCTGCGTTGAAAAGGAAGGGCTGAATCGCAGGTGTAGGATCCATGGCGGAGGGATTGGGGAAAGGTGATTTTGGGATTAGGGGTAAAAATGTAATGTGGAGTCCTATTTAAGCAATTTAAAACTTAAAGTCATATTTTGGAGTTTTAACCATGTTTTAGTCTCATGTAGAATAATTCCTTAATTTTTAAATGAGAAGAATTTTAAAATATATTTTTTAAATTTAATTTATAATACATTATTAAATAAAATAGAGTCAAAATAGAGCACGTGAATAATGCAAAAAGTTAAATGTTAAATCATACCCGACCGGGTGGGGGTTTCTACCCGGTCGGGTTTTACTCCTGGGCAGTCAAATTTCTTGTTTTCTTCTCTTCAAAGTCTTCCTTTTCAACACCACAAATCCTAACTATACTTTACAACTTATAAATAAAGACTAAAACAAAGCATTCAAGTTTTCTTTCGCCGACTGACAACGTTCTAAACAAAGTTCTACTCCGTATGTTTATAATTATATAGGTATAAATATACAGTACAATATTGAAATGTTTGCTACACTTTTCTTTAGAAAAAAAACGTTTGGAAAATGTTAAGAGCTGTTTGGAAAATATTGTTTCAGCCAAAAAATAACGGGTTGATCTTTTTTAGCGTTTTCAATAAATGAAAACGTTGGTTAGTAAATAGATGTTTGACCTTAGCTTTTTTGGCTGAAATCGCTTAAATAGAAACGCTACAAACATGAAAATTTTGGGTTAGTGCTTTAAAATATGACATTTTCTACTAATTTTTATGACCAAACGGCTAAATAATCAAACATTCTCGCAATCCGCCAACTTATTCCGTTTGTCAAACCCGCTAACTGAATTCACTATTGACAATCTGCCCACAATACTCTCTATCTGCTAACCACTAAATGTCAAACACACCCTAAATGTGGACTCCTTATGCTCAATCCTATCAAGGTCGATCAATTATTTTTAAAAATATCGGTTTATACACGCCTATTCGCAAACACGCCCGTGGACATGTTTACTTCATTGCATACTAAACGGTGCTTAGTAAAACATGGCTTAATAAGCTAATGCTTATTAAGAGATGTTTATTAAAGATGTGTTTACTTTATTGGGCTTAAAATACGTGTTGTGTACAAAATGTCAAGAATAATTTTAAGTCCTATCTAGCTCATTGACTGTTCTATATCGTTAGAAACACACCAACCGTTTCTCATCTCCATTAACGAAGAAATGTCGCAAGCCCATCATCTCCGGCTACTTTCTTCTTCCACTTTTTGCTCCGTCCATAAGATTAATAAAGGTAGAATATTCTTGTTCAATCAAATTGATTCTCTATCTCTCTATTCGAACATATATATACATAGCTACTGTAGAATTTTGTCAATTGGGGCATCGATTGCTACATTGGAGAAGTTCGTTGGTGTTATACGCCTTGTACATGAGAGCAAAGTTTTTCTTGTCTGAGAAACACTTTGGAGGAGAATGAAAGAAACGAGGAGGGCATGGTGTTAGGGCATTGTTGTAATACAAAATTTGCAAGGCTACAAAAGAGGACAGGATGGTCCATATAAATGACTTAACTCACCGGCTAAATAAAACATGGGGGGAGGGGCGTTTAACAAACGGCGATTAAGGGGTGTTTGGATTTGATTCTTAAAACTGCTTCTGCTCCTTCAAGGAGCAGAAGCAGAAGTTGGAGTGTTTGGGTAAAAGTGCAGAAGTGATTCTGGTGCTCTAATTTACTCCTAGAATCAGTTTTTTTAGAAGCCGGGGGTGACCAGCTTCTGAAAACTGATTCTGATTCTGCTTTTTCTTTAAAAAAGAAGCAGAATCAGAATCGGTTCCAAACAACCCCTAAATGGGCTAATGGGGTAGTAAGGGCGTATTTACCCAACCAGGGATGTTTACTTCAAGTTTCTTAATAAGCTAACGGTGAATTAAACAGCAAAGTAAACATGTCCTTGTTCTTACGCAGTGGTTAATCACTTAATTGTCCATGAAACTAGCCCCTGCCCAGCCCCCAACCATTTTCTCAGCCCCAAGCCACCTTCCCAACCCCTCCCCAGCCCCCTCTCCGTCACTGTGACCCAACCTGGTCCCGCTCCGTCGCCGACCAACTCCGACCCTTCAACCGCCACATGTTGCCGCTCACCAAATACCCCAACCAACCTCGATCCACTCCTCCCAGCCCAAGTCCACCACAGCCAGACCAGATCTGGCAATCTGCAACCCAGCCAAACCAATCAGCGCCTCGGGCGGCGTTGGCCCAGCCTCGACCTGGAAACCCTACTGCGGACCACCTTCGCCGTCTGACTTCGTGCATATATGAAATTGAACCTCCATAGCCTTGAATCAGAAATAGAGGATGTCGTGAGGAATCTAGAGCAAGGAGAAAAGAAGAATTGTACGTCGATGTTGAAGTCGCCGTTAATGGCTCACCACCATCGCTGGAGCTCGGTGCGGCATGAACTCTGTTGTCCCAGGTGCGATGCAGCATCTCCGAAGAGTTCCGTTGCCATCTCGATG